CGATTCGAGTTTTCGTGGGAGTGAAGGGGGGGGGGGGGCGACGAGTACGAAATGAAGCCTTGAAACACCTTATTAGACAACAGACAACAGGAAGGGCTTTAATTTGTTCTCACTGCATCACCCACTATGAAAGTCCATAATTTGAAGAAATTTTGCAGGGAGGGGAGCCCAACTATCTCTCAGGAGTTGCCTTGCTAACCCTTCTTTAACAGTGTCTTTAGCAACAATCCACTCCACGAATTACTAAGCCATGCACCTTCCTACCGACTCGCTCCCACACCTGCTGTACTTCCTTAACTGCTCTAAAACTGCCCTTGTTTACCGTACACAACTATACCAATAAAAATGGTTATTCATTCACTGAACTATTTCACTTATTCACCAATATTGATGCCGCATCAATCGATAAAGTCGCCGACCAACTGGCGGCCGGCCACAGGAAACGAAAAGCTCGGTATCAGTTCCTGAGCCTGGCTTGCATTTTGGTTCAGGAGATTTAGTGAAACGCATTTTTCTCCATTCAACTGCTCGCCTATCAGGTGATAAATATAATGTGGGCTTCTCTCCATTTATTTCGTGGCTTTGGTCAAATTTAGATATGGTCCGACTTGGAAAACTGAATAAAAAGGATAGAGAATAAAAACGATGGGCCTCGTTCAATCTCGACTGAGGGAACCGCCTCGCATTCAAATTCCAATCAGAATCGTGGTGGCATATTGAATGCGTATATGACCTATGCAATGACTTGCGGTGGCCAGAGGATGTACAAGTCAGTGCTACCCCTTTCCAGACGAGCCTGGTTACAACTAACCCACACCGAGGGGGTGGAAGATTTGGTTGACATGGGTGAGAATCAATCTGGGATTCAAACTGCGGACCATACGTGTGTGATAGAGCGCCATGTACCACTACACCATCTCCGCCCTGGAAAATGCGTGAATTCCAAAAAGGGTCCACCCACCTCGGCAATGAGTGTGCATAGGCGAGCACGTTCGAATGCTCCGACTGCCCATTGCCACTCAGTAGTTGATGACCCGCAAACCTAAACAAGCTAGGTTTCACTAATAATTAATTACATTCTTTTTGCCGCCTTTCCATCTTTAGTGTAGTGCAAAGCGTTCGCTGCGATCTAACGATCTGTCTGCAACAAAAATTTAGTATAACCTCAAAAAGCGCCTGTAAAGGTTCAGTCAGTTTCGGGGTGGATGGGGGATAGGACGAAATCAACACGACACACTTCAGCGGAGCTCCACTTTCGGGGGTGAGACACGCACCAGAGTGTTAGCAGCAATAGCAGAACTTCCTAATTTGGTTTCATAATAGAACAGGCGCTAGGGGAAAGTGAGCAAAAATGAGGAATGGATCTACAAATGCGACGGAGGAGACCCAGCCGCGGTAAGCAGAGCGTCCATGTAGAAGGCGGTAAATACTACATGAATTTGTAATTCGAGCCCATCAAAGTTTGAAGGCTACAGAAAGAAAGCAGTGGAAATGAGTAAAGTGTCTAAGGTGTGCTAGACCGTCTTCGTTTTAGTCTGGTCTGGAGCGGACGCTGAGGTGGGCGGAGCCAACACTAAAAACTTATCAGCATGTTGTAAATTGTTCTAGAATGCAGAAAAAGGATAAGGGCTACTGAAGGAGTGTGGTCAACTCTTATCAGTGGGTGGAACTGAATACATGCAAAATCTTTTACGATTATTTAGCGTGCTAAATATACATATGGTGAGGAGAAAATGAACCTCGGTGATCCTCGCAGCAGCTAGACGAGGCTTTCCAGAAGCGAGTAGATGTTCAATCATAATACGCCCCACTGTGCAGCTATCCCATTTGCTTTCTTCAAGTTCTGAATTTCTTTCACGGGCAAATTCCCAGGCTTCCTCGAAGAAGTTATTTTCGATCCTCCATCTTAACGTGTCCTCTGCACAATACGGAGTAGCCTTAAATTAAAACATGATCAACTCAAAAGGTCTCGGAACCTGTTCATAAGTTATAGGTATGTTATAGTAAGAATGTACAGGGAGGGTCAAAATTTTGATGACTGCGCGAGCTGATACTTATACAAAATCGGGACGCCCGGCTAACGGCGGGCTTCCCTCCTTCTTATGGGTTCGCCCGGCTACGCTGGGCGCTCCTCCTTTTTGTGAGAAATTTGCTATGCGTAAATAACACTCCGGATTCTCCTTTTTCTTTAAGAGCTCTATACCCCCAGTATTAGCTCTGAATTGGGAGCGATTTTTTCTGTAAGCCATCTCTGCTGTGTCCGAATAGAGCATCGTATAATATCACAAAGGCGATTATTCAGAGAAAAAAAGTATTCAGAGACTTCATCGCGGCTGAGTCTACTACGTTAGCTACCATCAATATTCCCAGCCAACTCCTTGTGCCTTCAGGTTTCAACGGTCTGGGTCTGAACGAACAGTATTTATTCTCGCCCCGCCCCTTAGGGCGCAGTTTAGTCCTCCAACCTAATCAGTGTACCTATCCTGCCTCCTGTATTCCTACCAAGTCGTTCTAGGCCCATTTTGACATTTCTCTGCAAGCCCCGCCCCCTGAGGGCGAAGTCCGGCCCTGACACCCACCGCAAAGGTTCCCATCCTAACGCCTGTACTCCTACCAAATTTGGACTCTTTAGGTTCATGCTGAACCGCAGTTATGAATTTTCAGACAAACACACACATACACACATACACACGCAGAGACAAACCAACAGACACACTTAGCGTGTTATATACAGTATGATTTTTCTGAGTTTGTAACATTTCATGTGTTTCTCCCATTTCACAAGGTAGTTTACATTATTCCCTCTCTAGTGATACTTAACTTTTGGCAGATTTTATAAATAAAAGAAGCGCAACTACCCCGTGAATCAGTCACCATTTTGCATCTACAAGCACTTTTGGCATGGGGCATCTGCAGCAGACGACTCAATATAACATGGCAGTTGGTACATTCAACCATAAGTGGAGAGGGAGGGAGGGAGGGGGGGGGGGGGGGGGGGGGGGGGGGGGGCAGCGATTATATTTAGGGGAGGTTTTGAGGAAGCAGGGCTAAGGTCTGCGTAGCATGAGGTTCCCTCTGCGCACAAAATGGCAAAAGAAATGGATATCTCATAAAGATAATCGTTAAACACAATCTGCACAACAAGGGACACTATTAAGAAGTGATCCCCTGAGTCAACGGGCCGAAAAGCGAAAAGACGAGAGAGGTTGGCTCGCAACGGCTGCGTTCTGAAGAAATCGTTACAGGAAATTCCTGTTCACCGGAGAAAAGATATTCACGGTAAAAAGGTGCTCAATAAGGAGAACGATTTATGAAACTGAAAGAAATGGAAGTTATACAGCGCTAGGCTCACTGACCTTATCTGATCACCTTTGCGAGCATCACCGCCGAGACAAAGACACCGACCATTTTTGTTAATGAAGCAATCGAAGTTAATTTGGGCACCTGTTAGAACTCACCGTGTGCAATTAGACTTCTCGCGATTTATATCGGACATATTATCGAGATGTAGCTCCTGACTCCAAATCAGAAATTGTTCAGGATCTTCGTAAAATTAGTTCCCCAACTTCATGACCTTCGATCGGTGGCCACTTTAAAGCTCTGGCCTGAATCCCACGGATGTTTCAGTGAGGTCTAACTTGCAACCAAAAGCATGCATGGCCCAGAAGAGAACAAAATAATCTCGAAAATGCTTTGCAAAAAGCCGGGATCAACTCATTGATCATACTTGCGTGCCATCATCGACGCCTTCTACCGCCATCTCCTGGTGTGAGTGAAAGCAGAAAGCGACAGGTCTCAGTTTGAATGTACTATTTTGATAAAAAAATTCTTGGGGACCTTTTTTTCCTCCTTTTTCTTTTCTTTTTCGGAATAGGTCTGTTTTATCAGCTTTCTGTTCGTTTTCGGTAGCATGATATCTGTGTCATCACAATTTGGCCCACCCTGTAGTGGAACACGGCATCAACATCTCTCGAGTGATGAAACCCCCAATTTTTTTTAACTTTAAGCCTCAACTATTCATTTAGGCTTAATTTTTATTTATTGATGGAATAACATGGATGTAGCGTACCATAACCAAATCAGAAGGACTTATAAGGAAGTATGACTCGATTGCCGGCACACCAGCCATAGAAACCTGACATGGATGGGAGAAGGTTTTTGATGAAAAGCTGTAACGCACCATAACTTTACATCGTCAAAAGAAATAAAGCCGGAAAGTACCTCAAACGGTCTTCAGCCAACAGGCGATAAGTCGAGTACGTCTCAGGAGCTAGTAAGCAGAGCTGAACTAAAGAGGGCTGACCATTTTGGGACTCAGTGTAGTCCTCATCATCCACAGACTGGAAGTCACTGTATAAATGTGGAAAGTTTACAGCAAGATAATATGTAGGGAAGTATAAACGCTCCTTGCAGCAGAGATAGACATTTAAAGACCGCCAGAGGAGTGGTGAGGTTTCCATTCTCCATCTGCCCAGTCACAAATCGATTACTACTGAGACGTCTCTTGCGATATTGCGACCCTCCAGTATAGCTAATATTAGATATATCAGGGAGGATGAGATCGGGTATTTGACAGATCAACACTTTAAAATATATCTATGGCGTGAAACTTGGTTGAAGTCTATCCCTCATCCCAGTGGCATTAGTCAACTCTACACAGTATTTTGTTCTGAATCTTCAAGGCCTCAGTGCACAACTGAAAAAGGTTCACTATCATGAGATGTTTGCTTATCTCTACTATGTCTGCCTTTCGCTGGAGCTTCTTCACTTCGCCTTAACTAAACAATGCTACGACCTCAGGCCGTCAATTGGTCGCTGCTCTCCCAGATCTAGTAAGACGCTCAACTAGAGATAACCGGTTTTGCCGATTATCTCATAAAGGGGAACAATGGCTCAATGAAGTCATCATATAGCACTGTAACATCCAAAAACGGCTTGAACGGGCGCAACAAAGGCTCAAAGTTATCTCAAAATGTCTCTTTGACTGACAGATAAGGACCACCCTCCTAAAGGAAATGCAGCGAGGTAGATTGTGGTGCAAACGAAGGGTCACCGTCCCAAACCCTCTCCTTACATCTTGCTCAGCGAAGGAGTGAAGCTCATTTCCCGCTTCCATCTCCTGACACAATTATGAAAAGAAGGAGTCACAAGGAGGAGAATCAAGAAAGGCTACTTCAATATTATACTGAGGTTTGTACAAAAAGAACCTTGAAGCAAAACGTTTACCACACCTTTGAGTGAGCGCTCACTAGAATTTTGGACCCTCACTGAACTTGCTACTAGAATAAGCTTGAACTGAGGAAAACCTACCGCAAAAAATGACTGCGCGTCGTCATTTGTATATTCGGTCTTCACTCCATACACCACGATTTCTTTCCAAACACCTGTAGAGTCAGATAAGTAAGAGATTCCCGAACACAGCATGTCGATGTGCCATGTGAAATGAATTTCCGCTTGCCTAACCGACTGAAACGCTAGCGGGCATTAGTTCATCAAACAAGACTTCACTTTATAGCAGAAGTAGAAGGAAACAATACAGCTGCAAAATTTTACCGATGCTTCTGTGGTCACTAGCATAACGATAGTGACCGTATCAGCCCAAGCAATCACAATCTGGCTGTCGCTGAGCCAACAATGCGATGGAGGGAATCGAGATGAACGCATACGGTCCACATCATGTGAAGGAGGTATGAGTGAAATTAGTCGAAATGCTAACCTACAAAAAGTACAGCGTGACATTAAAATCTTCTAATGACATATCTGCCATAAATTTCCCGACACTATTCACCCTTTACTGCCCCACATTGTCGAAAATAGGCTGGATTTCTCTCGAATTTTTTTCCATACGGTGAAACCGACTAGAAACTTGCCTCGGGGGAAATTTGACCCGTAGAACCGAATATCGCATCCTTGCGTCATGAAAATGCCTGGCGCCCCACACCCTCAAGTTTTCAACAAGATTGGTGACACAGCTACATTTGGTGCCGGCGCCTGTGGCGGGAGCGCTAGGCATCTCTACGACGAGTTGATGCAATATTCGTGTTCTCAGGTCAAATTACCCCTCTGGGCTAGTTTCTAGTCGGTTTCATCTTCTCGAACAGAATTGGATAGAAATGCAGCCCATTCTCGACAAAGTGGGGCAGCAAAGGGTAAATAGTGCCAACTTCCCAATCAGAAATTCTAGCAAACGACGCCTGAATACAAAATGTTTTTGAAGAGCTGTCGAGATTCACCTGTCAAAAACTCTCGTTCCTTTATCACATGTAAATGCTATGAAAGATTGCCGCCAAGAGCACTGAGTGATAAAACCATCTTGTTCTCCGCCACGAAAGATGGTCTGCAGTTGATTTCACTTAGTCTGTTCAAATTACAGAATATAAAACCACTCCTAATAAAAGGTAGAAAGTAAAAAAAATTTTCCAGCACAAGCAACCCACCTGCTCTTTGTAATTGAAAAACTTCTTCTCGTAAAAAATGAAGTTCCGTTCCCCGATGGCGAACATTGGCGTTGAAGTTGGTAAGGAGAAAAACGGGTTTATCGCAATCGAACGAGGCATTACGGACAAATTCACAACCTGAACGACAGTTCCCCCAAGTTTTTATATGTATTTAAATGTTAAATGAAGAAAATGGCTATCCACTCACATGGTTCAGATTGTTGCATCCAATACCAGAAATGGCTACTCGTCCGTCATTTGCGCAGCTCATTACATAGTTTCCTGGTTCATCTATTGCCAACCTAGTAACCGCACTTCGATGTGGTCGCATTACCTAAACTACGCGGGTGGAGGTGTATATGGTTCTGAAGGCTCCAAAAGGGCAGCGTTGAAGTAAGCAACCACATGCGACAGCACTGAGTCGTTCAGCTTGGTCGCAGTGACAATAGTGCAGATTTGTGACTTCTGACCAACACCCGGTGGGTGAAGTGGTAACCATTTTCAAGAGTGTGAATCAGAAAAAAAAAGAAACTTACCGGTACATTCTGGTTATCAACATGGCCAAAGTGATCCATTATCCACACGTAGCCCATCTGCGTACCCACAGCAATCAGCTTTGCATGTGCAGCGATTGATGTTAACACTTGAGAAGAGATCATCTGCATCAAAAAGCAGCTTAAAAGGCCACACCATATGTTTTACATATTTTACTTCCGATTTCTGTACTTGGTGACAAGTTTTACCACAGTTACGACTGCATCAAGTGGATTCGTAAAACCAAGTGTCAAGAGGAGAAAGTGAGGAAGGAGGGCGGTAGAAAAAAAGGAGAAAATTTACTTCATTTCACTTTTTGGACCCTTTTCATAACTAGACCGTTTCTTGATCTGAAATATTAAACACATCTTCTGAGTTCTAAAAGACATGGACTTCGAGCGCGCTTGGAGAAGGAATTTTCATATTTACCGCTGTGCTGCCAAGCTCCTTTAGGAGTTTCTAAGATTACATAATGCCATAGTAGTGCCCAGACTGAACGAGATTTACCTTCGGACTTCCCATGCTATGATTCAACAAACATATTATCAACCATTTCATATTCTGAGGCTGCTCATTTGGTAATCAAGAGCAAGGCTAACGGCTGATGTACAAAAAAAAACAATTTTCCGAGGTGAAACATCCTAAAAAGTGCATATCAGAGCCTTTCGCTGTAAGATCTGAAGCATCGTAAACGAACTAGAAGGCATCAGAAAAAAAAGGAAGGCTGGGGCAACACGAATACTTTTAGCACATCAGAAATATCAAGCAAGGTCCCTGGTCGAAAGAGCACTCCACCAGTACAAAATTTCTTTAGATCCATAGCTCTCATGTAAATCTCTTCAATTCCCTACACAAATTTTGTGATCGTTCATGATACTGATAACCTGTTATACTACCTGCAGAGTCATGCTTGCTACCTTTCTTTTCTGGGACACCCTGAAAACTAAAAATCATTCTGATTCTATTCTATTCTATTTATGCCACGAAATCACCAAGAACGATTTCTTGACAATATATATCAACGCCCGCGAAAGCCCAACAGCTTCAAAAGTTACTTCACCGGGGTTTCGCCCACGCGATGAACCATTATCCACTAAGCTTCGAGAGTTTTGTGAAAGAGGGCACATACCTGTTTGGCGTCTCGACCTTCAACGCGTTCATATTTGAAACGTGGCTCAAGCAAGACCTCATCATCATCGGAGGAGCAATCGGAAGCCAGTTTCAGAGCTGCTTCACATTCTTGTGGATCCGCTTCTGAGCTGCTCGCCATGTTCACAGTTCTTGGTTATTCCTTTCAGAATGCATACTCAAGCCACTGTAAATTCGTCTAAAAATGATCGACATAGGTAACACCCTGGTTTCCCACATGATCAGGAATATTTTGAAGAAATCTTTCCGAACACAACATCGAACCACTCAGATTCCATCAGTACTTATCATTTATCACAGACATTATTCAATCCATAAAGCAAAAATCCACTGAAAGCAGTTATATGGGGATAACAAAACAACAATAAGGAAACAGTCACATGTCTGAGTCAAAGCCGTTTACAGTACCCAATTCGAGAAGAAAGACCATGGGATCTTTGCCGACCTTGGCATTGCATAGGTGATCGGTCGATTACCTCGCGTGAGACCTTGTCAAAAGCTGAAAGGGACAAACTGTTTCAACAGGACTTTCAAGTAAAGCAGCTAAAACAGGATTATGAGAAGTCTTTAGAGACAGTCTGGGTAGGCCCTTCATCACGCAATCACTATCTCAGCCCTACTGGATGCAGCTTTTTTTTTCAAAATGAAACTCTCTCTCTCTCTCTCTCTATATATATATATATATATATATATTTATTTATTTATTTATTTATTTATATTTATATATTCTTGCATGGCCCAAACAAGCACGAAACATTCATGATATGGGCTCTACGGTTTTCCTTCTTATATATAAAGCAGTAACTTGGTTTGTCGGTTTGTCGGTATGTCGGTTTGTCTGTATGTCGGTATGTCGGTATGTCGGTATGTCGGTTTGTTGGTCTGCCCGTCCGGGTTACTTTGTGATTATGATAAAGGTAGTGATATGGAAAACTTATTCTTCTTATATAAAAAGCAGTCACTTTGTGAGTAGGCTAATGGAGTAAAGTGAGCACTGCGGAGTGAAGTGAGTAATAGGAAGTGAGGAGGATGATTCAAATTGTGATCTCTACTGTACTGTAATGGCAGTACTTCGACACTGGTATAACAATATACTAAGACCGCAATTATCGGAATCCAGAGAAATGATTAACGCTATTTCAAATCGAACAATCACCTTAGATATCAAGTTGGTCTTCGAGATGACTAATTTCCTTCGAATATTCTCCATCTACTGCTTTTGTATCACATTTCACTAGTCCAGAAGGGCTGCGAAGGCTGCGCACTGGCCGATGTTTGTGAACCACCGGTATACTACTGAAAAATCCGAGAAAAAAATAAAATGTGGAGGAAAGTTCTATCCATTATTTCGATACTTTCTGGCAAAATCCGATACATAAAACACTCAAAATTTGTAAACTTGCTAATCTACAACAATGCACCTCCCTGGTCATGTATCGAAATCAGTTAGCGGTTCTGGATGATAAGAGTGGAATTTAGTATAGGGGGAGATAATATATGCAATGTCCTGAAATGTTGGCAGCATTGCAGCAGCTGCGGATGAGGCATTATGCAGAATCAAAAAAATTTCTTGACCAAATTAATCTTCCGGTTGCAAGCGAACTAAGATTCAACTACAAAATAGGCATCGAGCCATCTTTTTAAAACCACAAATGCACTAAAGAGTTTTTTACGTTCTATTAAGGGAGTAGAATGGGTATGGGTGAAGGATTGAGAGGGGGAAAAAATAGGGCATGAATTACCTCGGTATTTTCTCGCGACACGAAAAAGGAAAGCTAGAGAATATAACAAAAGATATGAGCAATCGTAGAAATAAAAAATTGAGGCAGAAGAGAATAAATAACCTTTCCAAAATGCCACGTATCCACTCTTGGATGGCCAATAGGATGTTTCCCGCGCGATAAGAGAACCCTGTGTCCTCTCGCAGCTGAGAAATATTTCGTTCAAGTAAGACAAGAGCCTGATCGAGCCTGACACGTCCAGAACGCCACCGAGTGCCATGTAACGGCAAGCTTGAAAAGGAAGCATGATAGTTTCCGTTCTACAACGGTTTCTACCATTCTCAATTCACAAATTTAATTGTATAAGAAAGACCTGCCTTCGACCATCTCTGGGCGAATAAATATAAGAAGTTGAGGCGCCTGATAGAATTGAGTAACGAAATATATAGTCCAGCAGTACGGAAGCGCTTCCCAAGAAATGAAGAACGTGTCCAAAAGCAGCAGCAATTTCAAATTCTTGATGACCTTAAATGAGACGTTTGAGAACGAGTTTCAGACTGGTAATTTTTGGGAAAGCGCGCATCATAACTGCATGGTCTCATGATCCCTGACCACATTCGTTGAGAATATGATAGAGGCATGTACAAGCCGGCTCGTCAGAATCATGTCCGTCAGCCAGTTCCACAACTAATTCAAGAAGTGTTTTTCCATTTTCTGTCACTCGGCCATTTTTATTCGGTTGGTGCATACTTATTGTCGAATTTTTCGCGCCTTCTTTTCTCTTGTTACAATTTGAACGTTGAACTCGGGATTTTATAGAAAAAATCTTGTCGTTTGCTCTGACACAAATGTATCTAGAAATCTAGAAAATCATCTTAATGCCCGCCACATTATCTCTCTCTTTATATATATATATATATATATATATATATATATATATATATATATATATATATATATATA